GCTCGGCTCGGCTCGGCTCGGCTCGGCTCGGCTCGTTGCTTACGTTTCGGTTAACCGTCGTCTACTGCCGGCAGCCGATTCGCTCGCTGGGCGCCAGCGAACATCACGGTTGTGAAATTAGCAGCAGATGACAGCAGTGATACATTATCGGCCCTTAAACGCTTACTGTACGGGGTTCGAGTTCGATACGTGACTCAACTTTTCCTTGTTAACTGCCAATCCCTTTGAAAGTATTTGACGAATATAAGGTTTTTTTCTGTAGAAAATACTTTCCTCGTTTAGGAAAGGAGAGTAATCATCATTAGAGGGAAACAATGCATTAAATAATGCACTGTGCTGCTTGTATTTTCCAGTAAATTCGGTTTATAAATTCTGTTTATTGAGAATTATACAGTAAATAATAATGATATCAGTAACTGGTGATTACGCACGACTTAGGAGACCAAAATTGACCTTTCTCTTCATTATTTCAGAGAATCACAAAGCCTTCCTTCTTCACGCGGAAATTCTGCAAGCACCTAATCCTCCACTCGACAAATGAGCAACCTGAATTCTATATTTACAAGAAGGGTGCCAAACGTTGAATGTATTGGCCACCTTATGGACCACGCGGTCATTTATTCCACAGATGCGGCTTAAGGAATCACCAGAATGCGATTGTCTATGCAATCAGACATTTCTATGCACTGTCAAGGATCGCTTAAAAGAGTTCTTCAGTAAAACGCTAAAGCTAGAGCCACACCTATCGACAGATAGCTTACTGACTATATATGAACGTGCCATATGGAAGAAGAATGGATCCCGCTTGCTTAATTTGGGGTTATATGCATTCGTCTGGTCCAGAACTGACAGCAAGCTTTTTCTTTAAGCATGTTTGCCATGTTACTCAATAAGTATGTTCTTCATCAAAACAATCCCATGTAATCGCAAAGTTCTCCCTTAAGCAAATAACATGTTAAAGACCTGCGAATAGTCAAGAGGGAAGGATAGACTGACGATATCGTGTCATAGCTTACGGTGCTCTAGCTCATATCTAGTTCTCTTCCAAGTTATATTACTGCATTGCTAAGTTCTGTTCCTGTTGTTTAAACTATTCGGTACTTCGACTAACACAGTTCTACACTGCGACAGTAACTTAGAAGGATACAGAAGTCTTAAAATTGCATCGGCGCCACTAACCACCTATAATAATTTGTAGGTTTTGTTTTCCTTCTTCTATCTCCATGTTTCATTTCTCACCTTCTTTCGTTCATGCATTATGATCAGCTGTACAAACAGTTTTAGAACTCCAAAAGGATTGAAACCGCATTTGAAGTAATCAGAGGAAGTTTTGGTTTTTGGTATGCAAATGCAACAACGGTGCTTCCAAAATTGCATATAGTTATAATCAGGGATCAACTACTGTTTTGCACTGCTATGCCAAGTAGAGAAGTCCAGTGTTGCTTGTGTTTACCAAGAAGTGAATTTTTCTTCGTGTAAAACAAACTCTCGCAATCTTTGAGTTATCCGTCTGTAACTGTTTATTGCTATAAATGACATTAGAAACACTTCTGTCGTAAGACTGGGGTTAGTGACTAGCAACCATATAGCTCAGTGTCAAGGTTTCAAAGTCAGTAAATGACCGACGCGGTAACATTCTGGACATCAGTTATGCTGCCGTCGAACTTTTCCAGCAGGCATTTGGAAATAATATGCTGCATTGTCTGATCTTCATTACCTGCGGGCTGGATTTCGTCTTCTAACGATGGAGTAGACGTTCGCAGCGCCGTTGCCTTGTTCGAATCTTGTTTAACCTCGACTCTTCTCGGCAAGCCAAATCCATGCCAGGGGGTTCTGATGTCGGACTTGAGATTAGGTATTTATTATGAAAGGCTGTAGCGTCCCAGTTTTCTCGCCACAGTTCTTCGAGACTCAGACACGGCGTTGTCACTCGTTCCCATAGTGGGTGGCATGACTTCAGCCGTCGTGCTGGTGGCTGTTGGAGGACACTATGAATGGGAAGCTGGTGATTTCTATTAATGTTTTGAAAAATGTGAGACCCCTGCTCACTTCTCCACAGGTGAGGGGGTTCAGTTTGTGCCAGAATCGATAACCTCGGTGTTTGGGTTGGCTTCAGGATTCCTGTTACTATTTGCATCACTTCATTCAGCTGCATATCTAATTTGCTCGCGTGGCAGCTATGTCTCTGAACAGGGAAACAATACTCCGCAATAATACTTACACAGATCAGAAACACCAAAGGGTAAGAAACGCCGTCATCAGTTTTAACATACAGATTTGCTTTGTCTGCAACATCGATGAAATGTTTAACGCTGGTTCGTATGACATCGTTTCTACCCAAATCCGACCTTGAGAAAGGTCAGGTGATTGTGAACTAAATATTCAGTTTGTTTTCACGCTGTTTATCCAGCGCCATTCTTCGAATTTGTGCACGAATTTCTTTAGTGACTAAAATCATTTGTGATGTTTTCACCAACGGAATCAGGGTTTTCTCCGTTACTAATCTTCTGTCCTGTTCAAGCGAAGGTGCGGTTGTTTCCAAAGCGGTTATTCATGAACTGGCAAACTAATTCACTTTAGGTAAAACCAGCATTGATATGGAAATCCTAGGCACAGCCAATGCTTGGTAGTTTTCCGCGACAAACTCCGTCTCCTCACAACTAAAGAGGCACGTCGTTGTCCTGTTTAATTCACACGTTGGGTTGCTGACAGGTCAGATGAGTAGAAGAGCGGTAGTTAAACGAACTTCGTATGATATTCCTTGATGCGCTGTCCAGAATCTCACCTGAAATGTTGTAACGTATTTTCCGTTTCTTCCCTTGCCACTTCCTTGCAAGTTCATGACAACACAATACGGATGATCATTATTTATGACAGTGCCTAACGGCGTTGCTAATTAAGTGATAAATCAGTTTCTGTCTGCCAGCAGGTAAAAACGTTATAAATTTTGCCACTTTTCTAACAGCTGAGAAATGTGGTCGTCCCTGTATAACATTTGCCGCATCGTCTTTATCGACCTTTCTCGATTTTGGCCTATAAATTAAGACCCTTTAGCGAAAAGTTTGAAAACTCAGCTTATACGTATCTACCATATAAGCACCATGCATGAAAACCCGGTCTATTCTAAATAGATAAAACGAAGCGCAACGGTTCAACAGTACCGGCACATACCAGCACTTCTGTTGTGCGTCTTTCTTTTACGACCAACTTTGCAGGCAAACGATAATGACCAGACTCACGCTATCCATCTCTATCTATCGCAGCTTGCCTTTCCTTTGGGTGACAAAAGCTGTAGCATCTAGAGGTTTTTCAATGGTTCCGGCTTTATGCTAGTTGGACAAGAACAACCGGTTAGACTGCAAAGCGCGGCAATGCCGGACGTTCGACATGCCTTGAAGCATCTGACCGAAGGTTGGCCCACTGATCTTATGTTCGTCTAAGAACAGAATCCGCTTTTCGAATCTCTTCTATGGCATTCTTACCACATTTACTATCCGCAGCGGTCAGTCTTGGTGAGAGCCATGTTCCGAAACTTATCGAGAATCATCACACGCGTAGTTTTTTGAAGTAACTTGATTTTTACTGCTTGTACCGTAGACCGCACGCTTTTAATCAACGTTCACTACTCATAGTCATATGTGAAGGTAATCAATGTGGTATGGTTTGAGTATTAAACTTTTGCAGAATTTTTCCGGCCGATGGCTTTGCGGTGAACTGCCGTGATACCTTCTAAATGGAATATGACATTTATGCAGGCACACTTTATGAATTCAAAATTTCTTCTGCGTAATGAAGAATATATCTCTTTCCACTGGGAATACGTTTGGGCATTTTCTCTTTAACTGCTATGATAGCAATGAAAACGTACCGTAAACTTTCTAAACAATTGGCTAAACGATGCAATGGGGACCGAAGATTTAGACGAAACCATATCTTTGAAAAACACCTGTCTAAGAATATGATCATATGATTATGATCCTGAACGAACAGGTTGTCAGCCTCCATCCTTATTTATCTTGAAGAGAGAATGATCTAACTTTCGATGTGTTGTTTTTTCATTACGCAGAAGATTATGTTAATTATCTTTTCACTTTCTAAGCCGCTAGTTTTATTAATAACTGAGATGTTAACATTATCTTAGCAACGGTTAAAGGAAAAAATTGTCTTTAACGGTTGCCTTGTCAGCTTTCTGTATTGCTCCGTATCAGACTCCTTTGTGGCACTAGTTTTCACGGATTTTATGGTACAGTGCTGACCTCTGCAGCTTGTCGGGATAAATTAAAGTGTGACAATAATTTTTGGCGGTTGCGTTGTATACACCAGTTGTCTCCTGTTTTCTTACATTGCCTAGTGTAGCTGCATTAAAAATTGAAGTGCGTTCGACCTCAGCCTTACTTACAATTGATTTTAATTTCAGTCTTTGGTTCTATATTTTGTAGAGAGAGTTACTGCTGTTAAGGAACTTTTACATTTGTATCCGTTGAGGTTTTGCTGTGTCAAGTCATTTCGAATGTTAGCTCTGAACATCAGGTCCTGTATATCGGCTAACATTGATTTTCAAAATATGGTAGCAGTTACAAGCATTGCTACAACCTTCTGATGGTTTGAATGTTGCAGAAATCTTCTGTCGCCTTCTGCACGAGAATGTCCCGTACATTTAGAAAGTTTTAATTTCTCATAGACTCTCCACCTTTTTTAATTGCTTCACTTGTTTTTGCAGTCTAAACGCGAATTTTAATGCATGAACGTTATCAAGACGATGGATCGCTATTATCATTCTACAGTCTATGTGTCACTGTCCCTCTTCAGAATAATATTTTTTCTGGTGATTTTTTATTGCGGCTTATCTCACTTTTGGGTTTGAAAACCGTATAGAAAACCGGTTTTTCAAGACTAAAAATGTATCTTTACGTGAAATATTGGATAGATATTTGCAGAACCGATTCGTAATCGTTTTATATTGTTAGAGAATTCAGAAATGAAGTTCTCCGGGCACCCTGCCAGTCAGTTTGAGGAAAGCTTTTAAAAATTTCAAAAAGTGAGGTTTCACTCAATGTGGAGGAGACATCAATTCCAACTTGTTTTGCATTGAATTCCTCATTGCTGATATTTTTCCCTTCTCAGTCAAGGC